CTCGCCGTCTCCCCCGCTCCGCCCCTAGCCACACAGCCTCTCCCCGAACCCACTCCCGCTCCGGTCGCTTCATTAGTCACTTGGCCCGCCTGCATCCGCGTCGACCCGCCGCCTCGTGCTTCGCGTCGCGCGCTCGTTTTTGGTTGCCGCGGATGGCGGGGATCGACCTCAACACGGTGGAGGAGGACGAGGAGGAGTCCTCGGCGGAGGTGCTGCTCGCTCGGAGCGGTGGCGGCGGGGACTGCTCCTCCCAGTCGCACTCCCACTCCCACTCCCACTCGCACTCGCAGACCCACTCAGGCCACGGCCAGGGGAGCTCCTCCGTGGCGGCCGCGACCCCGCCGCGGCCCAGCGCGGTGTGCCTCGAGCTGTGGCACGCCTGCGCGGGGCCCGTGGCCCCCATGCCGCGCAAGGGGGGTGTCGTCGTCTACCTCCCGCAGGGCCACCTCGACCACCTCGGCGACGCGCCCGCACCTTCACCCGCCGCCGTGCCGCCCCACGTCTTCTGCCGCGTCGTCGACGTCACGCTCCATGTAAGTGTCCAGCCGGTTCGGTGACTCCGGGCTTCAATGTGTTTGTCGCTCGGGTGTTTGATGGTATGCCGTGTCACCTGCAACCATGTCGCTGAGCTTAATCTGTGGCTGGTTGGTTTTGCGCTTCGCAGGCGGACGCGTCCACGGACGAGGTGTACGCGCAGCTCTCGCTGCTCCCCGAGAACGAGGTGCGTGCGTGCCAGCAACATGCCCGTGCTCTCACGCCTACAATGGCGGCTCTGCTCGATTCGGTTCAGTTTCTGTGGCGGCGTTTTGCTGAGCCTCGGCCTGACCTGCTGCAGGAGGTGGTCCGGCGGATGCGCGAGGCCACGGAGGACGGGAGCGGCGGCGAGGACGGCGAGACCGTCAAGCAGCGCTTCGCGAGGATGCCGCACATGTTCTGCAAGACGCTCACCGCCTCCGACACCAGCACCCACGGTGGCTTCTCCGTGCCGCGCCGCGCCGCCGAGGACTGCTTCCCCCCTCTGGTGCGCGCATTGGCCTGGCCACACCCCTCTCTCCATTGATTTCTGCCATTGGACGCCTGCTTCGTTCTCACTTCTCAGTCGAGTTGTTTGCTGAAACCTCTTCTGTTCTGGGAACGCAGGACTACAGCCAGCAGCGGCCGTGTCAGGAGCTGGTCGCCAAGGATTTGCACGGCACCGAGTGGAAGTTCCGCCACATCTATCGAGGTACTACAGCTGAACAAACACATTCATGATTTTACCTTGCTTTGGTAGCTCAGATATGATATGAGCTGTGCACTTGGTACATTCCAAGTTATGTACAGTGCATTCATTTTCTTTCCGGTTCTGAGTTGATGCTATGGCTGGACCAGCTAGTAGCTTGAATCCTTTCATTTGAGATTTTTGAGTAACCATACATCGATTTTTGCTGGTGCTCTCTTGTTCACTGAGGACCAGCACCCCTGTTTCTCATTGAATGGTAAACACTAGTAAATATAACCGCCTCTCATCTGAAGTGTGTCTTGAGTATTCTTAGCACTCCCTCGTTTTGCTTTCTTGTGTTTCACCATATGCTCTCGGTGCCGTTGGGGGTAGCTCTACAAGGGGGTACTCCTACTGTACTATCACTTGGTAGAAATGTTAGCTGCATTATTCATTTGCTAGACAACTTTTTTGCCGGGAAGTTCGGTCACTTTCGAGACATGCAAAGGACAACCATAAGAAGTTAAGGGTGTCTTGATTGCTGATACATCCACATCTAACTGAATGTGATACAGGCCAGCCGCGGAGGCACCTTCTAACCACCGGATGGAGTGCATTTGTCAACAAGAAGAAGCTTGTCTCCGGGGACGCCGTACTGTTTCTGCGGTAGGCTAACATGATCATGCATACAAGTACCTCAAGATGTTGCCGGTCCATTTTAATCATTTTCCATCAATTTCCAGGGGCGACGATGGGGAGCTTAGGCTGGGAGTACGCCGTGCGGTTCAGCTCAAAAATGGATCTGCTTTTCCGGCGCTTTATAGCCAATGCTCGAATCTTGGTACACTAGCTAATGTTGCTCATGCTGTGGCTACAAAGAGCATGTTCCAGATCTTCTATAACCCCAGGTAATGATGGGCGTGCTTCTTGTTTTATTAATGCCTTCAGAAGTTGATACTTGGTAAATTTTCATTATACTACGGCAATACTCTTGGAAAAATAGGACGCCCTGTGCTTGCTTAAGGTCTGATATATATATATATAGAAGTTGTGGCTGTGCTAGAACTATTTAGTGATGGACTGATGCTTCGACACACAGTATTTATTATTTGACGTTTTTATTTTTAATGACGCATTAGCATGTTCCATTACATGTTTTTCTTGGCTGCTCAAGTGCCTGCTGAAATTTCATGGTTTGCCTTTGATAATTGATTCTAAGTAGTTTTTCGAAGCTGTTTTGAGTACTACTTCACCTTCTCGTAGTTTTTGTTCTTTGCCTTTTAAAATCACGTAGTTGTGATGCTAAATCGATTCTAAGGTAGAATTGTAAATACTGATGTTTGTTATTGTTTATTAAATTATTGATAGGTTAAGTCAATCTGAATTCATCGTACCCTACTGGAAGTTCACCAAAAGCTTTAGTCAACCATTTTCTGTTGGATCGAGGTTCAAAATGAGATATGAAAGTGAGGATGCTGCTGAAAGAAGGTTTGTTTGCTGCAACTGTCCTACTAATAACTCATATTATCTGAACTGAATTCAGCTGGGTTGCTAATGCATGAGATTAACCTACAGGTACACAGGGATAATTACTGGAACTGGTGATGCAGACCCTATGTGGCGTGGTTCAAAGTGGAAATGCCTGCTGGTATGCTGTAATTTAATGTTTCTCATAGTGGTTGTTCACCGTAAATGCTGCGTTTGCACTTTTGCAGTACGGCTTTCTGTTTTGTACTGTCAAAGTAATATTGCAACTTAACCACACACTAGGCGCAAAAACGTACTACCAGAATTCCTCCCTATTATTCTGATACTGTAACAGCTAGTAATAAATGTATTTAATGCCGAGGGTGCGCAACTGGACATATTGATTACCCTCAACGAACAGGAACTCGTTGAATAGAAAACAGTGACTGATCAACGGTTGTAACAGATGTGAATATGAATCGAATACCTATTGATTTGGTTGAATCTAGATACCTATTGTAACTTATGCTGTAATGACTGCAATACGAACAGGAACTCAGAAGTCATAATAACTTAATACTACCTCTGTATCAAATTATAAGACGTTTTTGCAGTTCAACAATGGTTCTGCAAGACTTAAGTGTTTTATTCGTAATTCATTTACCGTAAACTCTTACTGTTTCGTTTCACATGGAGAATTCTACTCTGTTTGATGGTCTTTCCTTATATTGCATTATACTGTTTTTACACTACGATGGTCTGGCCTTCATCTGTAAGAGTGTTTTCCATTGCATTAAACAAAACTGGCTTCTAACTATATTTAATTAACCTACCTCCATCTTGACAGGTAAGGTGGGATGATGATGGTGAGTTTCGTCGACCAAACAGGGTATCTCCTTGGGAGATTGAGCTGACCAGTTCAGCTTCAGGATCCCATCTGGCCGCACCAACTTCAAAGCGGATGAAGCCATACCTTCCCCATGCTAATCCGGAATTCACAGTTCCACGTATGTCTCTTATTGTAGTTTAAAATAACTGTCAACAAAATAATATAATTTTTTGCTGTATCTAACCTGAAACTATCATTTTCTTCCTTTTAATAGATGGAGGTGGTCGCCCTGATTTTGCTGAGTCTGCACAAGTCCGCAAGGTCTTGCAAGGTCAAGAATTATTGGGTTATAGAACTCATGATGGTACTGCTGTTGCTACTTCACAGCCATGTGAAGCAAGAAACTTGCAGTACATCGATGAACGAGGTTGCTCTAACAATGGGAGTAACAATGTCCTAGGGGGGGTCCCAAGCCATGGTGTGAAAACACCACTTGGAATTCCCTACCATTGCTCTGGCTTTGGGGAGTCTCAGAGATTCCAAAAGGTCTTGCAAGGTCAAGAAGTTTTCCGTCCGTACCGAGGAAGTCTGGTTGATGCGCGCATGAGAAGTGGCGGCTTTCATCAGCAAGATGGTCCTTATGCATCTGCTCTATTGGATAAATGGCGCACACAACAACAGCATGCATTTGGTTTCGGGTCATCAGCACCAGTTCTGCCGTCTCAACCATCGTTATCACCACCTTCTGTGCTGATGTTTCAGCAGGCTGATCCAAAGGTCTCTCGATTCGAGTTTGGGCAAGGGCACTTGGATAAGAACATGGATGATCCGTATGCTAGGTTTGTCTCCGCTGAAGCCATTGGAAGGGGAGAGCAAACGTTGTCGCTCCGGCCTCATCTTGGTTCAGAAGTGATCGATACTCGTGTTGCAGTTGAGAACAAGGGTGTTGCACCTACCAATAGTTGCAAGATATTTGGCATTTCTCTGGCTGAAAAGGTTCGGGCAAGGGATGAGATGGGTTGTGATGATGGTGGTGCCAACTATCCATCTTCAACTCAGCCCCTGAAGCAGCAAGTGCCGAAATCCCTCGGCAACAGTTGTGCCACTGTAAGTGCTTCTACTGTTGTCCTCAAGCCTTGATAGGTAAAGTAAAACTGGCTGCTAACTGAATGCTGTGTGCAGGTTCATGAGCAGAGGCCTGTTGTCGGCAGGGCGATCGACGTCCAACAATGGATATGAAGAAGGATCTAGAGGGCGGGCTGGATTCGCGAGTCGATCATCGTCATCTGTTGGTGATTCTTGATTTGAAAGCAGAGAAGCGTCTGCTCTGACCATTCCAGTCGAACCTTGTGTATCTCTTTAGTAGTTGTATGATAACCGGTGGAGTTGTTGTTATTCTGTGACCTAGAACTTAGTTGGCCATATCATCAGCGTGACTTTTGGCTGCTGGAACTACCCTATATGATTAATATGTATGCTGTGGGAGGCCATTTAGCTGGTTCTGCTATAGCGCAATTCCCATGGCGTGCTTTGCTCCTATCTTTCTCTCCCAGCTTTACCAGTTCTTGTGTTTTGCCAGATGAGGATGTGGTTTGCCGGCATGGGCTAGTGCCCTGATCTCGGACCAGACTGGCCAAGTATTTGTCTAGCATGCCGTGTGTATGTTCCAAACAAAGACAAGTTTTTGGTGATAGCCGAACTATTCATAGGCAAGCTTTTAGCCACCATCCAAATATACCCTAATTCACCACGATCACTCGGCCCGTTCTACACATGTCAACAATCTTTGTGACTTGTATCCGTTTGAATCATGTCAAACATGTCCTCAAATTAGTTATTGCATTGCAGCTCTTGGCCAGATTATCCTGGTCAAATTGGTAGTCGGGGACTTAGTTTTCAGTGTTATCAACGCGTATGCCTCGCAAGTAGGTTACAATGAGAATACCAAAAGGGAGTTCTGGGAAAGCCTGAAGGACATGGTTAGGAGTGTACAATTGACGAGAAACTCTTCATAGAAGGAGACCTCAATAACCACGTGGGTACATCTAACACAGGTTTTGGAGGGGTGCATGGCGGCCTTGGCTATAGCATCAGTAATCAAGAAGGAGAAGAAATCTTAAGCTTTGCTCTAGCCTACAACATGATCATAGTAAACACCCTCTTTAAAAAAGTGAGGATCACATCTAGTTACATTTAGTAGTTGTCAACACTCTACCCAATTCGATTTCATCCTCTCAAGAAGCAGACAAGCGTACTTGCTTAGATTGTAAGGTGATACTTAGAGAGAGTGTTCTTCTCAACATAAGCTTGTGGTGGTTGACTTTGGCTTTTGGTTTCGTGTCCAGAGGGATAAACGTGCCAATGTCACTAGAACGAAGTGGTGGAAACTTAAGGGGGAAGCAACTTAGACGTTCAAGAAGAGGGTCATTAAGGAGGGCCCTTGGGAGGAAGGAGGTGATGTAGACAATATGTGGATGAAGATGACGACTTGCATTTGTAAGGTGGTCTCAGATGAGTTGGGAGTGTCCAGGGAAAGTAGAAACGAAGCTAAAGATATCTGGTGGTGGAACGATGATGTCCAAAAGACTATTAAGAAGAAGAAAGATTTTTCTCAAAAAAAAAGAAAAAAAATGTTTGAGATGCCTTTACCTGGATAGGAGTGCAGACAATATAGAAAAGTACAAGGTGGCAAAAAAGGCCGCAAAGCGAGCGGTGAGTGAAGCAAGGGGGCGGCGTATGAGGACCTCTACCAGCGGTTAGATAGTAAGGAGGGCAAAAGGGACACCTATAAGATGTCCAAGATTTGAGAGAGGAAGACAAGAGATGTTGACCAAGTAAAAGGCATCAATGACAGAGCAGACAAGCTCCGGATGAAGGGTGAGGAGATTAAGAATAGATTGCGGGAGTACCTCGACAATCTGTTCAATGGGAAGAACGAGAGCTCTACCATTGAACTGTACGACTCTTTTAATGATTCCAGCAGACGTTCTGTGTGGTGAATTCGGAGTCTAAGGTCTAGGAGGCTTTAAAAAGTATTAAAAGACGCAACACGATTGGTTCCTGATTGTATCCCTGTTGAGGTGTGGAGAGGTCTCGGAGACATAGCGATAGTATGACTAACTAAACTTTTCAACCTCATTTTTTGGGCAAACAAGATGTGAGAAGAATGAAGACGGAGTATATTAGTACCAATCTTCAAGAACAAGAGGAATGTACAGAGTTATATTAATTACTGTGGAATTAAGGCGATGAGCCAAACAATGAAGCTATAGGAGAAAGTCATTGAGCACCGCTTAAGAAAAATGATAAGCGTAACCAAAATTCTGTTTGGCTTCATGTCTGAGAGGTCAACCATGGAAGCCATTTTTTGATACCACAATTTATGGAGAGATATAAAGAGCAAAAGAAGGACCTAGATATGTGAAGGAAATATGCCCTAGAGGCAATAATAAAGTTGTTATTTATATTTCTTTATATCATGATAAATGTTTATTATTCATGCTAGAGTTGTATTAACCGGAAACTTAGTACATGTGTGAATACATAGACAAACAGAGTGTCACTAGTTTGCCTCTACTTGACTAGCTCGTTGAATCAATGATGGTTATGTTTCCTAACCATAGACATGAGTTGTCATTTGATTAACGGGATCACATCATTAGAGAATGATGTGATTGACTTGACCCATCCGTTAGCTTAGCACGATGATCGTTTAGTTTGTTGCTATTGCTTTCTTCATGACTTATACATGTTCCTATGACTATGAGATTATGCAACTCCCGAGTACCGGAGGAACACTTTGTGTGCTACCAAACATCACAACGCAACTGGGTGATTATAAAGGTGCTCTATAGGTGTCTCTGATGGTGCTTGTTGAGTTGGCATAGATCGAGATTAGGATTTGTCACTCTGATTGTCGGAGAGGTATCTCTGGGCCCTCTCGGTAATGCACATCACTATAAGCCTTGCAAGAATTGTGACTAATGAGTTAGTTGCAGGATGATGCATTACTGAACGAGTAAAGAGACTTGCCGGTAACGAGATTGAACTAGGTATGAGGATACCGACGCTCGAATCTCGGGCAAGTAACATACCGATGACAAAGGGAACAACATATGTTGTTATACGGTTTGACCAATAAAGATCTTCGTAGAATATGTAGGAGCCGATATGAGCATCTGGGTTCCGCTATTGGTTATTGACCGGAGACGAGTCTCGATCATGTCTGCATAGTTCTCGAACCCGTAGGGTCCGCACGCTTAAAGTTCGGTGATGATCGGCAATATGAGTTTATGTGTTTTGATGTACCGAAGGTAGTTCGGAGTCCCGGATATGATCACGGACATGACGAGGAGTCTCGAAATGGTCGAGACATAAAGATCGATATATTGTATGACTATGTTTGGACTTCGGAAGGGTTCCGGGCAAGTTCGGACAAATACCGGAGTACCGGGGGGTTACCGGAACCCCCCGGGGAGTGTAATGGGCCTATTGGGCCTTAGTGGAGAAGAGGAGGGGCAGCCAGGGCAGGCTGCGCGTCCCCTCTCCCTCTAGTCCGAATTGGACAAGGAGGGGGGCGGCGCCCCCTTTCCTTCCCCCTCTCTTCTCCTTCCATCTCTCCTACTCCTAGTCTTGGAAGGATTGGAGTCCTACTCTCGGTGGGAGTAGGACTCCCCTTGGGGCGCGCCTTGGAGGGTCGGCCTCTTCCTCTCCTACATATACGCGGGCAGGGGCACCCAAAGACACACAAGTTGATCAGTTGATCTTTTAGCCGTGTGCGGTGCCCCCTCCACCATAATCCACCTCGGTCATATCATAGCAGTGTTTAGGCGAAGCCCTGCGTCGGTAGCATCATCATCATCGTCATCACGCCATCGTGCTGACGGGATTCTCCCTCGAAACTCTGCTGGATCGGAGTTCGTGGGACGTCATCGAGCTGAACGTGTGCTGAACTCGGAGGTGCCGTACATTCGGTACTTGGATCAGTCGGATCGTGAAGACGTACGACTACATCAACCGCGTTCTCACAACGCTTCCTCTTACGGTCTACCAGGGTACGTGGACAACACTCTCCCCTCTCGTTGCTATGCATCACCATGATCTTGCGTGTGCGTAGGATTTTTTTTTGAAATTACTACGTTCCCCAAAAGTGGCATCCGAGCCAGGTTTATGCGTAGATGTTATATGCACGAGTAGAACACAAAGGAGTTGTGGGCATGGATATATACATATTGCTTGTCGTCACTAGTTGATTCTTGATTCAGCGACATTGTTGGATGAAGCGGCCCAGACCGACATTACGCGTACGCTTACGCGAGACTGGTTCTACCGACATGCTTCGCACACAGGTGGCTAGTGGGTATCTATTCCTCTAGCTTTAGTTGAATCGAATTCAATGAATAGGGTTCTTTCTGAAGATCAAAAAGCAATCACTATACCACGTTGTGTTTTTCCATGCGTGGGTAAGAACGGTTCTTGCTCAGCCCATAGCAGCCACGTAAAACTTGCAACAACAAAGTAGAGGAAGTCTAACTTGTTTTTGCAGGGCATGTTATGATGCGATATGGTCAAGACATGATACTAAATTTTATTGTATGAGATGATCATGTTTTGTAACACATTTATCGGCAACTGGCAGGAGCCATATGGTTGTCGCTTTATTGTATGAAATGCAAACGCCATGTAATTGCTTTACTTTATCACTAAGCGGTAGCGATAGTCGTGGAGGCAATAGTTGGCGTGACGACAACGATGCTTCAATGGAGATCAAGGTGTCAAGACGGTGACGATGGTGATCATGACGGTGCTTTGGAGATGGAGATCACAGGCACAAGATGATGATGGCCATATCATATCGCTTATATTGATTGCATGTGATGTTTATCTTTTATGCATCTTATTTTGCTTAGATCGACGGTAGCATTATAAGATGATCTCTCACTAAATTTCAAGGTATAGGTGTTCTCCCTGAGTATGCACCGTTGCAAAAGTTCGTCGTGCCGAGACACCACGTGATGATCGGGTTTGATAAGCTCTACGTTCACATACAACGGGTGCAAGCCAGTTTTGCACACGCAGAATACTCGGGTTAAACTTGACGAGCCTAGCATATGCAGATATGGCCTCGGAAGACTGAGACCGAAAGGTCGAGTGTGAATCATATAGTAGATATGATCAACATAGTGATGTTCATCATTGAAAACTACTCCATCTCACGTGATGATCGGACATGGTTTAGT